ACCGACGGGCTAAGCGATAACGAACCACAAGCGTGTAGGACGCAGAGGGGAACCGAGGCCCTTCACGCGAACCACAGGTTTCACTTCTGCAGAGGAGAAAAAAGCCCAACGGGTAAATCTTGTTTCTCCAGATGCTCAAATTTGCTCGTTTTTGCGTCGACGCAGTGAAATTTTAATGACCCCCAAATGCAAATGAAAGGAGAGGGGGGGGTCAACAGAAGACATCACCCCACTAGCGTTAATAACGTAAAGACGACAGACCCACCGCCCAACGGGGAGCGTGCCCTACAGCCGGGAAACGACTTGTGCACGGGGCATCGTCCGCAGGTACGAGGAGGACGGCTTAAACCCGCTGCCACCTCAAGCCACCGCCCACACGCCCAAACCAAGGGGACAACGTCCACGGGTCCCAGCCTGCCAGGCGTCTACGGGGACGTGTCACGCTCTCCCGACCCTTTGGGACACCTCGGGCACGCTGGAGAAGCTTTGCTCCCCAACGCCAGCGTTCACGCCGGCAGCACCAACGCCGGAGGGACGATCCGTTTTGGCAAAGGCTGTGGGGCGACAGCCTCGCTCGGGTTTATGCCCGTAGCTTACGACACGTTAAGTGTAGCCTGTATTTCCACTCTTACTTGGATAAACTCGGTATTTCGAATACAACTTTTACTTGAAAGGAATGGAGGGGCAGGGGGGGAAAGGTGAATTTTAGACATCACAACACGTTAAGTAATTAAAAATAAAGGGCATTTTCATTTTGGAGGAAGCAGCATAGAAAATTAAATGGAAGGTATACTTTTCTTTAAGAATTATTTTATAAATTGTATATATATACGGTATGTACAGCAAAAGTAGGAATGCCATGGAACTAAAACCGCTTATTCATTAACTTTCGACCTGGTGCAAAATCTGCCCAATAAAAATACACAATAACAAACCTTTTTCGGCTACAAAAATTACTACGCTTGGATAAAAGGGCTGCAAGTCAAGCGAGCAGCAGTAGGCTTCCTAACCGCTACCAGCTCCCTTCCCTGTGAGTTTAGGTCACTTCAATAGGCCATAGGGGAAAAAAAAAAATGACGCGATCGTAGACTGCGACATCTTCAGCAGAAAAAAAAGCGTGCCGACATTTATTTTGGTAACTGCTTGTTTTTTTTTTTTTTTTTTTTTTTAAAAAGGACGGGTTTTTAAGACTTCTACTTGGGATTTTATGAACATGGTCGTAGAGATTTGCAGAGCCAGGGGCTGTAAAATGGCATTGAAACACGACGTGGCCGGCAGTCCCCGCAGCTGCCTCTTCCTTACAGCTCTCGCCTCACCTCAACGCCGCCGCCAAGGAAGAGTTCTGCCTTCTTTTGACTACGTTTTCCCTTGCAGCCTTGCTGAAAACCTAAGGGATGAGCGCGCTTAGAAGCAGGAGTCTCACAAGGGACGCGGCAAACAGCACGCAACCAGCTCTCGGTGAAATAACGCGTTTATCCAGACCGGTAGTAGGAGAAAACTGCCCCCTCTTTAGACTGCGTACTTCAGATAAATAAGATTATTTCGCTACGAGCTACTACGGGCTACAATATACTCACATAAATATATTAATGCCTATACGTGAATATGAATGTGTATATATCGGATACAGATAAGAAACACTTAACGACGACGACGAGCGGATTACCGATAACCGCGCTGCAGCTTCTCGCCGGGCAAAATCCGTCACCCGGACTTGACGCGACGAACCCGCGACGGCGGGTTTTGCCATCCCCTCCGGAGTGCCCGGCGGGTCACCCTCACCGCACCAGCGCAAAACGCTTCCCGGCCCTTCCGTTAGCACGCCCCCGCCACCATACTTTACCCAGAAAACCGGCTCGATGGGCTGGACTCAACACAACCCCCTCCCGGCTGCAAGGCGGGGGAAGCCCCCGCAGACCCCTCCGCCCGGGATACGCTTTTTAGGGACCGCCCCAGCCTCTGCGCCAGCGGCGGGGAAAGCCAAGTACGAGGGAGCTGCCGGACGCGGCTTTGTCAAGACTATACGTGAAAAGCTCGGTTTTAAGCCCGGGCAGCAACGTCGGGGGGGCCCGATTTGCAGAAGGAGCGAGGAGCCGCGGCGACGGCGGAGCTGAGGATGCTCAGCAGCTCTGCAAATTGCAACTTAAAAAAAAAAATAATAATAATAATAAAAAAAAAATCATCCCACTCTTGGTGGTTTGAGAGGATCCTCAATACAGCGCCTGTCCTCTAACATAGGAGCGGAGCTGGACCAAGCAAGTACGACAGGTCTCTAACAGACACGTGCATGCAGGAGACGGCTTCTTTCAGCATTGGACTACGTTACCGAAGCATCCCCTTACCAGAGCGGGAGCAGAGATGTGCTCCTAGTATTATTTACACAATATAAAGTGCATTACGATTTAATTATTGAACTGACAGACTTTCTGCCGGGACCATTCGATTTTGAAACAGAGGCGAGGGCTTGAACAGGAAATTCTCTCATGAGAAAAAGAGGTTCAGACTGGCGCTCTTCACCCTGTCCTCCTAAGGATTGTTTTTGGCCGTTCTTTCTAGTGCAAATAAGCTTGTGTTTTCTCAAGTTTAAGGGACATGGCAGTTTCAGGGCATCAGGAACGAACACTTAAAATGCATTAGGGATTCGGCGCTCCCGAGCGTCTCGATGGGCCCTCCCGCGCGCGAGCAGCCCGCGTTACCGCCGCTCTCGGAAGCTGAAGACACGCTGCCCAAAATAACAAGGAACCCGTTTCCAAATCTCACCGTTAGGAGTCTCGCATTGCTACATTTCAGGTGAGTCTGTACTACCCTCCAACGACAAGATCTGCAAACGTCGGTGCTTTCCATTGCGGTGGGAACCCGTGGCTAGCGGTTTACCCATGGGTGATGGGCTATGAACGTGGAAGATCCCGATCCAGTTTCGGATACTAAGGTGCATCCCGCGCCGGGGGAGTAAATGCATTAGTGGATCCTACGGGATACCCGCGTGCCAGAAGCCAGCCCGACCCGGTAGCCAGCAGACGCTGAATTCCTGGGGTGATATTCACAATAAACTAATGCCATCGGAAGGCCAATTTATTAACAAAAGATAAAGGGTTCTTTTAAAAAATGGGCAGCGATGAGGAAAGCCATTTCGCATCTTTTTTTCTTTTAAAACGGTGAAGAAAATATCCCCTTCCAATCGCTTTGCCCGTCGCAAGAATTTTCCGCGCCAACGCTACAGGAACAGAGGGGAGGCACGACCACTGACAACACACGCGGCCGCTCGGGCTAATTCCGACGCAGGAGCTTTTACGATCCCTTGAGGCAAAGGTAGGCTGGGACGGGGAGATGTCAAGCTCGCAGGGGAGGAACGCCACGTAGAAACGGGAGGGAGGGTGTAAAAAGTTTGTACATTCATAGCTCCGGTTTGTGGGAATATAAGTTAATTTTTTTACTCCAGGCACTGTGACGGGGCAGCAGCAGTCAGCGATACGCTAACGTACGCATCAAGGACTCATTCACTAAATTCTGGTTTCACACCAATAACAGGATGTAGAGTTATTTTAGCGTTGCTTTTGTTTGTTTTTTTTTTTTTTTATAATTGACCTGTTAAAACCATCGGGACCAAAGCCCTAAGAGCGACGACGAACCAGCACCCCGTTTTAACCCCCAGCTGATTCATCACGGTCCGCTAGCTGTTCAAGTGGTGGAGCGAGAACATCTCTCCGAGAGTCGAAAAAGTACCCGAAAGAGCGATCTGTGCAGGAACGGACGGGAGGTTTTGACACGAAGCCAAAGGCTTGGTTGCTGTAACTGCTACGTGTGGTTTTACCTAAAGGGGGAATCACCTAAAACAGTGAAATTAACTTTCTTACTTCTTGTCACAACCGTAACATTTTCCTAAAGGTTCTTTGGTGACTTTGGTGCAAGCTTTTATTTTTTTTCTTTTTTCTTTTTTTTTTTTTTTCCCTTAAAGTTAAAACAGATCGACTAGTTTTAGTACCCAAACTAAAGTCCAGATTATCCTCTCGGTTCCCACCCCTGCCTCCCCAACTTTCCTCGTTAGTGACGTTAACAGGTAATGGCATTCGGATCGAGCGCGGCCACGCAGCGTGCAGGTGGGTCCAGACTAAGAGCGACGAACGGTCTGGTTGGAGATAAATACGTTTCTCAACAGGTTAAAAAACAAAAGCCCAACATGTAACGGTTGCACGGGAAAAGAGCTGGTCCACCTGCACACTAGGCCACTCTGTAAAAAACCGATTCAAACGATTATAAATATCTGATCGGACACAGTAACGCCTACTTAAAAAAAAACCATCTTAAAGGTGGGCAAGACGTTATTGGAAGTACCTGGAGCTCAATCAAACTCCCGCTGGTTTCGGAGGGGGAGGAGCTGGTCGTCCAAAGGCTGGAAAAGCCCCTTACGTTATAACTATTCATGACTTAAGAAACGACAAAGAATTTTCAAAATCTTTCGTCAAGCTCCCAAACCGGGTAATTGTACACATTCTCCCTCCAGGCAGAGAGTTTGTATCGTGAGATGTAAAATTGATGTTAACAGAGGCTTTAGCGGGACGACGCTGAAACCTGGTGGTGGGCCACCGGGAATCGAATTGCTCGATGACAGCCCCAGCTCTGAGCGGGTGGGAAGGGGGTGATGGCGGGGCACGATATCATCCCCTAACACCGCCACCTGTAAAATCAACACGACAGAAAACCCGACACGGCGTTAACCACGGCTTCCGAAACGCGCTACGGGTAGGCGTGAGAGAGACGCCTTTTTATACGAATCCAGTGGTGCACCAAACCCCCCAAAGGTCTTTCTCGCAGCGGGAGGAGAAAAACGCCCGGGGTGTTTTCCTCGCCCGGGTAACATCACGACCGCATTAATCTCACGTTTGGGAGAGAAGCCGGGAGCCCCAGTTGCGGCGGTCCCTCCACCCCCGAATATCCGCTCCGCAGCCGCCTGCTGGAACCCTTAACACCCCTAATACAAAAATACCTTTTGAAATTTTGGACAAATGCATTAAAAATAAAAAAAAAAAATCACCAGCCTCGCACGGGCAGAACACGTAGATGAGGAGCGGGTTATTATTCATTGCCGTTAATTCAGAAGGCTGAGCACTCGAGTAGAGCTTCGCTATCCTGGGATATTCGGGTTATTCAGGCAGCACAAAACTACGAAACGAGTAACAGATTTTCCGCTCTTCAGCAGCACGTTGTAAAGGTCTGACCAGTTATCGAGGTTTTACCCACACAGAATATCGTTTCAAACTCAATAACCAGCAGATGCCAATTTTAAAACCTCTGCCTTTCCTCGTACGCGTACCAGCGATTCACACGAAGTCGAATTTTGTCATAAATGCCCTACGGCTACGCCGCTCAGCCTTTTGACCGAGTACAGGCAGAATTCAGTCCCGGAAAACCCATCATAAGCAGAAACCGATACATTTCAGCCCAAGGTTTGGGATTTTTTTTTTTTTGAATCACGTTGAAGTGCAACACAAGCCTTACCTAGACTATTTAAAGGTCAGAGGGACGGATTTTTTTTTGTGCTGATACGCGTACTTCCATAGTCTTCAACACTCGAAGCAGCTGACTCATACGGGATCGGGAGGTTGGTACTTTCATAAGACATACGGAGATGGTTTGAGCGTAATTTAACGTGATGACCAGACTCCTATAACATTACGGACTGGAGTTAGCAAGAACTACCGGAAAAGGACTTTACAAAAAAACGGGGCGACTTGAAATTACTATAGGTCAGTCCCTCTCACCAATTTCTGCTTGTTTTGTTTTGTTTATTTTGCCAGACGGCCAGTCCAATGCACTCTATTCGAGACCCTCTTGCTCTTCACCACTGTCCCCTCTGGCATCCATTCTTTTTTCTTTATGGCTGTGGTAAATTCTCCTCATCTCTTCTTCGTACTTGATAAAATTTTCCCCAAACCGTGTCCACGCTTTGTATGGAACCGTGATGGTGTTACGGTAGGGCGGCCTCACCTCACTTACCTTCAGGAAAATGCCGTACCTGTTGGATCCCACGTCAAAGTAGAAGCGCTTGTTGTCCACTCGGAAGGAGGTGCCCTCGGGGAGCTCCGGGGGCTCATCGCCTCCCCGCCGGCGATCCTCTATGTCCCCCTCGCCGTATTCTTCGATCAGCTGGACCAAAGCATCCCTGAACTCAATCATCCCTTGCGCTGGAAGGACGATCGTCTGCTCCTGTCCCAAGCTGTGGCCAAAATAACCCATCATGCCAGGTCCCCTACTCATGGTTTGCCTAATCCGCAAGAAGCGCCCCCGCTGATTCTCCTTCAGGTCCAGGTAATACTTTCTGTTGTCCCTCTCGATGTACTCCGTTTTGAGGACGCTGTGAGGGTGCTCTTCGGAGCCGACAGAGACCGGAGGCGAAGGCGGCGGGTGCTGCTGTCGCCTCCGGGGATGCTGCTCTTTGCCATCGCTGTGCTCGTGCCGGTGACCGTGGCCGCCTTTCAGGCCCAGGTGGGCGTAGTGCTCGATGAAGTCCCCCAGGCAGTCCTTCAGCTCGGCGGCCACGGACAAGGAGAGGGTCAGCTTGCTTTTCCTGATATTGTCCTGCCTGCCTCTTCCTATCCAGACCTCGGCGATCTTCAGGAAGCGGCCTCGGGAGCTCTGTTTCACATCCAGATAAAATCGTTTTTTCTGGATGTCCACCCTCTTGGAGGCCAGCTCCTGGATCTCCATGCAGCCCCCCTGGGAGGAGGCCGGGTAATGGTACTGCTGCTGGGACTGGGAATAAATGCTCCTCTGCAGGCCAGAGCCTCCCAGGTTCCTTCCTCCTCCTCCTCCTCCTCCTCCTCTCCCTCTTTCCATCTTTACCAATCAGCTGGAAATAATACATAACAGAGACACAGATGACAACATCAGCATCAAGGGCCTGCTCGGATTCTCGGCGTCGTCTCTGTTCGGCGCTGCTCTCCCTACAAAGACGCCTGCATCCCTCCGCTGCCACGGCACGCAGCAGCATCGCAGCAAAAGGATCCCGGGCGCTCTTCCCCTCCCCTGCTCCGGCTCCCGC